AGAGGATGATGGCATGAGAATCGCACCGCGAAGTCGCGTTTAAACGACAATGCAGTGTGCCAACAAAACTTGGCCTGCTCCCATAAGCAAACCATGAATAGAATTGTGTAAATCTGTTGCGGCAAAGACTACTCAGTGTCCTTCGCCTTTGAGATCTCCACCGTAATGGGAAGAAGTGCGCCAACGGGGGGGATGCCGGGAGGCAGGGTCGGAAGAGGCTCGGAACGGGGTGCGATGCCTGCAGGCAAGGCCGGAATCACCTGCATGGAATCTGGTGGCGGACAACGTGAGCCTCGCATTGCGGCAGGTCCTGCAAGGGGCGCGATGCCTGGAGGCAGGGTCGGAAGAAGCTCGGCACGGGGTGCGATGCCTGGAGGCAAGGCCGGAATCACCTGCATGGAATCTGGCGGACGAGGGGGCCCTTGCATTGATAGGTTGTCGCCGCCTGATCTCCATGGACCTGAAGCTGGTTCGTGCCCTGGTCGGTGCTGGGGAGTGGTTTGCAGCTCTGGCTGGCTGGGCTGGGTTGGATGTCTTGCCAACACCTCCAAAACCTGAAGCTCGAAGGTCGCGTGGACATGCTTTGCAATGCCCAGGATGCTCAGCGGCATGGAGATGCAAAGGCTCCAGATGGACGAGCACCGTGTGCTCCGCAACAGCGTGTAGAACTGCAGGAACATGGAAAGTGGGGCCTCAGGGCTCTTTCCCGCTTTGGCTCTGGTTTCGGGCACAGGCATAGGGGTTTCGGGGTAGAGTTTTAGGGTCTGGGTGCAGGGGCTTCGGCTTAGGAGTTTTGGTGGCGAGGGAACTTTGAGAGCGCAGCCTCCACGCTCTTCTCCGAGCGAAGCGCCAGGATGAAGTCGTCGGTGGGAAAGCCGCGCTTCCGTGACTCCACGAAGCCCCCGAATACTTGGACTGGCTGTAGCTTGCCACGGTAGAAGTCTAACGCTACCGGAACAGCGATGATAACACCCTGCACGGCTGCCACTCCGTAGGCTTCCTCCACGACAAAAGTTCGGAGGCAGTTGTAGTCGGACAGGTAGTCGAGCAGGAAAACAACAAACTCCATCCAAAGCTGGAATTTCACCTTGGGTGAGGATTCCAATCGACTATGCCGAATCTGGTCTTGCAAATCCGCTGCCTTTGCATCTATGGCTTCAATGGTCTCAAGCTCTACGGGGACAGCACCCAGTTTGACAGAGGCACTTCCGCCCTTCAGCAGATGCACCCAGACGCCGTGCAAAAGGCAAGCCACCAAAGAGGCTAAAGGCAAGCACTGCAACACTGCGACTACAGCCACCGCAACCTTGGCTTGAGTCGATTCTTCTCCGTGGACCAAGGTGCACCGAGAAAGTTGCGCCAGCATACCGTTTTCGAAGCTCGGCGTCTGCGCTTCATAGTACGGAATTGGCTTCGGCATCTCGCATCCATTGTTACACACAAATAGCTCCTGTGCCAGATCTGGCGCGAAAGCTCCAGCGCTGCATCCTTGCTTTAGCCAAACGGGCACTGTGGAGGATAGGTGGCAGTGCAAGCACCGGCAGCAAGAATCACATGTTCGAAAAACATGGCTCCCACCGACCTGGAGAGCATTGCACTGACTCCAGCATGCTCCGCCCTCAGGTTCCAACAGGCCTTTGCGCTTGGCATTTGGCGGCTCGTAAGCGAAATGTATGTCCAAGCAGAAGTGAAGTCCATCCTCTCGTGTGTAATGGCTGCAATCCGGGCGTGGGACTGCGTCAGGGCAGCCGTCCCCGAGGAAGCTGAAAGCAGCGGGGCTCGTCCAGAAAGTCAAAGCGCACACAAGCTTCAGTACCCACACAAAGCCGCCAAAGCGAAGGTTGGGCGCCTGCTTGCGCGCCAGGCCATGTCGTGAATGGTTGTCAGGCCAAAGGACGCAAAGTGGCTCAGCCAGCAGGATGTGAGGCCTGGAGTGAAGACGGATCGCGGCAGCTAGGAAGAGCGCCCCCAGCGGGAGCAGAAAGAATGCTCCGTGCGTGAGAGTGGCCACTTGAGGAAAGCAAAGCAAGGAGATCGTCTCCAGCACCACCAGGAGCCTTAGCTTTCCCACAACATTCTCTGGAGTTTGTTATTCACCGAGATGGCCCTTCAGAAGCCTTAAAGGCTTATAAAAGCCTTCCCGCAAGCTTCACTTTCAGATACGGTAGCCCCAAAACCTAAAGAAGCTAAGAAGCCAATGCACAAGTAGAAACTGGGGTCTGGCCGGTTACAGTTCTCGGAGCCCAAAAAAAAGTGCTGGAGGCCGAGGCACCACACGAGCCGCGCACGCAGCCGGTCCTTGCCAGCCTCCTCGTCAGCTGCACGGAGCCTTGCGTACAACGAGAATTTCGGCATGGCTGCGAGCTCGGACTCGCCTCCGGCGAAGAGTGTCTCGGCCTCTACCGGGTATTGCTCATGTCGTGCCTGCTGTTGGCGCAAGCAGGGCACGGGCATGAAGAACAACTCTGTTTTGCTCCTGTGTTGCTCATTGTGTTGGCCTCCGGCTGCAAATGCCTGCAGTTTCAAGCCGCAGAGAAATTGACCGTAGACAAGCTTGACACGCCTGCATGTACCCGGCATGTAAGTGCAGCTGACAACTGCATAATCATAAGCTTTTCGATGTTAGAGCTTCACGAGCACTTGCTGTCGGGACTAATGTCGTGTCGGCATCCAGCCCTCGCCGAGCGTTACGACTGAAGTAATGTGAGAGTAGTGGCTGGCTACGCTTCAGAATGCGAGTGCCCCTCAACTGCCTCCACAAGGATAGAAGCCGTCGAT